GGCTCCACCGGCAGCGGCACCGGCACCTCCGGCTGCAGCGGCGTCCTTGGCGGCCTTCTTAGTGGCGACTCCGTTCTCGCCTGCGTTCTCGCCTTCCTGCTGGACGTCGGCGTTGTCACCGGCTGGCGTTGAAAGTCAGATGAGTTTCGGATATTACAATTTGAGTATCTTTGACATACCTTGCTCGCCCTTGGCACGGCGCAGAACGGGCCTGACATCAACTTGAGCCGGGAAGTTCAGGTCTCTGACGGGGAGAGCCACGGATCGGTCCTCCTGGGTAGGAAGGGCGATGACCTGGGCGGCGATGGCCGCAATGGAAAGGAGGATAGAGCTCTTCATTTTGAAGGAGTGCTAAATGTCTCTAGTCAAAGAGATGAAGAAAAAAGTTGATGGTATAATTTACAACTGAAAAGGGTTCACAGAACCTGGAGAGAATGGAATGTGAGAATGGAAGAAATGAGAAAGGCACTCAAGGAAAGACTGGACCAGCCAAAGAGAAGGAACTGAACCAGAAATGTTGTTGTGTTGAAGACTTGAAAGTGTCGAAAGAAAATGAACCGAAGTCAAGGCCAGATCGGGCTGGGTTGATATAGAGTATAAGCTTCCTGGGAATCTCACTCGGATCCAGATCCCTCGGAATATCATGCCGCAGGTAAAGCAGGCACAGATTGCATCCATGAGGTCACAGTGCCAAGGAATTGAGACGTCTTGTCAAACAAATGAGGTGAACGCTATCTTTGCCCAATGTCACCATGTCAGCCATGTCACAGACTGTGATCCATCGCGAGGGCAGTGCAGTTTGGTGGAGCAGGGGAGTCGGGTCCTCAGTTTGAGAAAGAGACGTTATGGCGAATGGGAAGAGGTGTGTGCCAAGCATCACGACGGCGCCATGTCGCGCCAAACCCCGGAGCAGCCGTGAGCCGGGGAAAGCGGAGACGAGGTCCCAAAATAAAGAGAGAGCAGAAAAGGTGTCTGTAGCCGATTGATGATGGGCATCGCTACCATGCGTTTGTGGTTGAGGGTGCCGGTGGTGACCATGGAGGGCGACTGTTGATCAGACGGTTGGTGATTCAGAACGGCCCCGCCGCGGCGGATTCTTGTATGTACTTCTCCAGAACTGAGGCTTGCGGAGGTGGAACGGTCCCCAACGGTGGTGGCTACTTGACGGTGGCCAGACCTGGTAATAGGCTGCATCCAGCCATAATCCCGTACTCTGCACACACACAGAACGTGGGAACTAGTGTCCGTCCTGCCCTGGTTGGCATGTGTTGTTGATGCTTGTGCGGTGGTGGTATTCCCAAGGTCGCGTACCTTGCGGTTAGTGGAACAGCCATGGGGGTTGAAGGGTTTGATCGGAGGACAGGTTGTCAAACCTGGGATGAAACACCGCCCAAAAGGGCGCTTGGCCAAAATCGCGAACGCCTCTCGCTTCCCAACTCAAGCCTTCCTCCCCCTCTGCGCGACTGTCTCCATCCCAATACACTGGTGACGAGTGGGATGCCGCCCATTTGAAGAGTGAGTTGCTGGGATGGCGTTTGAAGGATGAGCATGCGCGAAGCGATGAAGTCTAAATTTCAGAACTGCAACGATGCACCCTGGGCCGTTTCTTGACAAGCAGGGGAGTCTCTCGTGAATCAGAACCGGCCCCCTAGGCGTTGCAGAAGCAAAAAGTGGTCTGAATGGCAGGATTTGCAAAGAATTGTTGGATCTCTGCTAGGGCACCGGTTACGATGGCCGTAATTGTACACTGCATGTACGAAGTAGCGTATAGCAAGTAAGACACGCTTCGAGAGTCCCCACGAGCTTGATTTGTGAGCCGCAATCAAGCGTTGAAAGTTTGAAGGGTTGAAGCTTGGCCCTGGTCGATACCGTTACATCGCTCTCCTTCTTCCGTCATTCGCCGCACTAATGTTCCTGGAGGCTGTCTGATTTGCAGTGTCTGCTTAGGCCTTTAGAAATTGGGGGATCTCGACTGGAGAGATGCTTGTTTGGAAGCGGTGCCGCGGGTTGCGGTTGCTGCGCCATTCCGTCCCATTCCATGCCGTCCGTTCCCATCCCTTCACAGTTCACACAACAAATGCCGAGGGCTAGAACACAAGGCAACGTTGGGAGTCTCCGCACCCTGGTTGACATGGCTCGAGGGTAGAGGGATCGAAGTCGAGAGAAGGGACGGTGTTTCAACTTGTGCATCGAATTGCCAAGGACTTCTGTCTCGAGGAGATTGACAAAGTCGGGCGATGATCGTCGCGGAACACTGGCCAAGACCACAGCAGCATGGCGTTCTTGTTGAGGTGGGAATAACAGACCAGAATTAAGATATACCAAGAGAGACGCTCGGTGTTGGCGATGCTTCCGGCCTTGGTTGCGAGTATCAGAAATCTCTTGGTTTCTTTTAGTTTTTCAGGCCTGGCTTGTAGTTAGTAGTCTTGGACCCAGTCTTGGGACTCTTGGCTTGGGTCAGAGTCAGAGTCAGAATCAGACCTCAGGCGACTTCTGGAGTCTGGAGATCACCGGGGCGGCTCCAGTATTCCAGAATTACAGTAGAGGCCAAGCATTTTGGCGAGGGGAATCAGGGGATGAACGGATGTGCTGCGATCCTGTTTGGGAAATCATGGAGAAAGGAGGCGGGAGAGCAGAACAGTGATCGGCGAGCGAGGAAAATCAGACACAGGAGAGAAGAGCTTGGTCAATGATGCTGGTGCATTGCTTTCCCCACGAGAATTGAAGAGGAGACGGACGGTTCGCATCACTTTGACTGAAGGGGGGCCCCTCCTTCTCAATTTCTCCCCAATGACCGACCCATCTTTTCCATTGGATTATTCCCAGGCGACATGTCTTCCAGCCCTCCAGGTTCCCAGTAATTATTCGCCCCAAGTTCCCAACATGGCAGCGACAGTCTGTGAGTCGTGACTGCCCTGTCATGCGATGTGGTCGACACAGACTTGACCCGAGCAGAAGGAAGGCCCCATTGGACTCCCGTCTTGGCAAGACCCATCGCAATCACGTGGCTGTCCTCCTCGTTCTTGCTCTTTCTCTCTCCCCTCTTCTGTCTCTTACATCCTTCCATCATTGTGCCAAGGTACATCTCTACCTAATGTACCTTTAGTAAGGCAAGGTAAGGTAAGGTACATTGTAGACGTGCCTTCCTTGTGCATCAACAGAAACTGAAGCACAGTCCAAATCACGTGGGAGGTGACGAATCCCCATTTCAGATGTGGTTGGGTCTTCCCTTCCACTGCGGCTCTTCTACACGTGGGACACCGCATGGCTGGTACCATAAGGTTCCTTGCTGTCCCAAACTTGGGATTTCAAATGACTCTACCCTCTGCACACGCCTGTTTTGCTTCGAATCGTACAGTTCTGTATTTAGCAAAGATGAACACAACCGACTTCAGACGACGTGATGGTGGTGGGCAGATGTCGTTATCGCTCCCGGATGAGTCAATTACCTACAGCCGTCTCGTTTTCCACCCAGGCTGCCCAAAGGCCCCAAGGACACAGCAGGCAGGTTTTCAACTTTCTACACGCCTTGCCTTACATGACACCCGCCACATACATCAATCATCTCAAGTCTGGAGAAAGTCATCTCATCAACATGAACCTCTAACTTGGACGGTTCCACGGTCAGACTGGATGCGTCCACCGGTCCCCGACTCCAGGTTTCCTGTCTTTTCCTGTCAGTGCTGATGCATCCATTCATCCATCTCAGACTCTCACACCTGACCTACCTGGCCAGGCCAACACGCCGTATTGTGTCGAAGCACGGGGCCCGAGTCGTCCGATGCAACTTCCTTGACTAGCACTAAAATCCTGCCTGACTGCTCGGTGCTGCTGCTTCGAGCCGATCGGTTTTCGTCCCTTTCTTACATCGGGCATTCAATCCTCCATCGTGGTTGACGTGGAACTGTCATCTGGTCCCATCAGTCAAAGATGAGACCGGTTCCGCTTTGGGCAATTCACGGGGTGGCTGTGTCTAGCTGCCGCCATGCCGCACCCCGAGACAGGCACACCTTGATTTGATTGGCAACTCCACGTTAACGCCAGCAAACTTGGCCCCTCTGCCTAAGGCTCTTGCCTCCAATCTGGGAATTTACGGAGGATTGCGGCGTGTGATGCAGTGACTGCAGGCTCGTCGCTTCCATTCTGTTCTGTCCTTTTCCCAGTTAATTCCATACTATTTTCATTCATTTCCTTTTGTCTTGACGTGCTATAAGTTTGGGCGTACTGCAATTCTGTTTTGGAATTCTTCTCTTCAGTTTGGCACCTCGTTTTTGACGCTATTGCTAGTAAACGAAGTCACAAAGCGTTACATTCGGCTCATGTTTTGTTTGAAATCCCTCTTAGATTAAAATTGCCTCACTCCCTTGGTCTTGAAACACCATCAGCGACACGAGAGTCCCCGGTGCCCGCTCGCACCATGTGGGTCCCACAGCCGGTTTGCTCTTCCGGCCTTGACAACTCTCTCGGTCCGTGGGCCGGAGAATTGTGCCGAGGCGGATTCGACTTTACACTTTTCTTCGAGGAGGCCATACTAGCAGTCCCCCTGCAATCTATCCTCCTCCTGTTGCTCCCCACATCTGCCTTACGCCTAGCAAGGTCCGACGTCAAAGTCGTGCCCAGCAACCTGCGCTGGTTCAAAGCTGTTAGTCTAGGCAGATTGCCTCCTACCACAATGGCTGATCTCTGGAAAGTCTGCATCCATTTCTCTGGCTGCTCTGAACTTCGCTCTTCTGGTCCTCTGGATCATTACGCCATCAACCACCATCACTCATACGCGTGCAACCATTCCCACCGCCATCCTTGGTCTAATTGCCTCGGTAGGATTGGGTTTGTTATCATGGCTCGCCCATCAACGGTCTGTAAGACCATCATTTGTCCTGTCAATTTACTTGTTTCTGTCAATTCTGTTTGACACTGCTCGTGCCCGAACTTTGTGGATGCTGGGGTCGCATCAGACCATACCCGCCATCTTCACATGTACTCTAGCTGTCAGAGCTGTCATGATCCTTCTAGAATCAACAGAGAAGCGCAGGATCCTAGTTCCACGACACAAAGGATACTCCAAGGAGGTCACCAGCGGCACTTTCAACAGATCAGTCTTCTTCTGGTTGACGTCACTCTTCATCAACGGATACAGAAACATCCTTCACCTAGATGACCTCTATCCACTGGACCCGAAGCTAGCCTCAGAGCCGCTCTACAGAAAACTCGCCGAAGCGTGGGACCAAGGTAATCTATTTTCGGCCCCCAAACTAAAACACGAGATGTCCCGCGGACTAATATATCTGACTTGCGAACAAAAAAAGTCCCCGACAAGACGGTCCCCGGCGCTTTGTTCAGCACCTGGCTCCGTGCCTTTGCCGGCCCTCTTTCTGCGGCCATCGTCCCGAAACTCTTCCAGATCGCCTTCAACTACGCCCAGCCGTTTCTGATTGACGAGGCAATTCGCCTTGCCAGTCAGCCGCAACAGCAGCCCTACAATAATCGCGGTTTTGGTTTGATAGGGGCGTACGTGATCGTTTATACCGGTATTGCTGTGGGTTCATGTTTCCGCCACCTTCGCTCTCGGTCGAGAAGGCGTTCTAGAACTACTCAAGGTGCGGGAGGCTGAGATATCTCGTTGTAGGTTTCGACGGGCCAGTATGACTGGCGCAATCAACGTGCGGCCTCCATGACGAGGGGCAGTACGACGGCTCTTGTCTATCGGAAAGCATTGAGGCTGGATTTGACGTCGCCCAACGTCAGCCCTTCAGGAGCTCTGACCTTGGTCGGAACCGATAGCGAAACCATCAGCCAGGGCATCACGCAGCTTCACGAGGTCTGGAGTGGACTTCTCGAAATTGGTATTGGAATCTACCTGATTTACAGGCAGCTTGGGGCTGCCTGTGCCATGCCCGTTGCCCTCGTTTTCGGTAGGACGCCGTTTTAGCTTGGCCAGCTGAGAGAACCTCGAAAACTGACGCAACTTGGCAGTTGTCCTACTTGCTACAGCTTTCCTCGCTGTTCCTACAGGCAAAGCATCCGCGGAATGGATCAAAGCCTCGCAAGATCGCGTCTCGACGACCTCCAAGACGCTGGGAAACATCAAGTGGCTCAAGATATCTGGCCTCAATGATGTTGCCTTTTCGGTGGTTCAAAAGCTTCGAACCGTAGAGCTCGAGGTTTCCAAGAGGTTCAGAGTACTGTTGGGCATATCTATGATGTTTTGTAAGCTTTTTTTTCCTGCGTTGCCTCTCCGTGACATGTACGCTGAGACCTTCTCGTTCAAGTGATTTGCACGCCGATCTGGTCTCCAATCCTCACCTTCAGCACATTCGTTGCAACGGCGGCTCGAACCAGCGATACTCTGACGATCCAAAAGGCGTTCACAGCGTATTCTGTATTGATACTCGTGAACCAGCCATTAGTCGGCATCGTCATGGGTCTCCCGCTCCTGGCTTCTGCCATGACTTCTTTCCAGAGAATCCAAGACTTTTTGAATGGCAAGGAAAGAGTTGATGCCAGACTCGCTAGCGAAGGTAGCAAAATTGCTGGGGCTGGGAGATCCGTGGCAGGGTCTCCCAAATCTGCCAGTCTAGGCCCAGGCTTCGAGCTATCCGACATGCATGGAAGTGAGTTTCCAGTCGCCAATCTAGCTCCCAACGTCATCGCCTCTGTAAAGGGAACGTTCTCTTGGTCAGACGACTCCAAGCCGATCATTGACATCGACACCTGGAACATTCGGCGGCGAGCTTTCACCTTGGTACTTGGTCCCGTGGGCTGCGGCAAGTCGACAATTCTGAAGTGTCTACTAGGCGAATTATCGTCTTTCAAGGGCACTATTTCCACCAACTTCTCCGGCGTCACGTATTGCGGCCAAACCGCGTGGATACCGAACGACGGTGTGCGGAATATCATCACCGGCCACGCCGCGTTCGATCCGGCATGGTACTACACCGTCATCAGGGCGTGTGCTTTGGAGCAAGACATCTCTAGCTGGCCGAATGGAGATAGTACTGTGACGGGTACGAAGGGCATTTCCATGAGTGGCGGTCAGAAGCATCGTCTGGTCTGTCATTGAACTTGTTTAGAGCTAAGGAGAGTGTTAAAAGCTAACATCATGGTAGGCCATTGCTCGTGCCTTATACGCAAGACAAGAGTTGTTGGTGCTTGACGACGTTTTCAGTGGTCTAGACTCTAGCACCGAAGACGTCGTCTTTAACAACCTATTCGGAACCAGCGGCTTACTACGCCAAACGGATACGACTGTCATCTTGGCATCCTCCGATTGTACGTCCTTCTTAACTCCTTACATCGTGTTCTCATGTCCTGACTTAATACTAACGATCCTCTGGCAGCCCGCCGCATCCCGTTCGCCGACGACGTCGTACTTCTCAACGATGAGGGTCGGATCATAGATAACGAGTCGGTCATGAAAGCTGACCGACTAACCGACTTCCCGAGTAAACACGCCGGCACAAGCGCCAGCGACAGCACCGCACCCCTGCCAATGATTACAACAAACGATAAACCACCAGCCACGGTCCTCGGTCTCCTTGAAGACCAAGCAGATTCCGCCCGTCAACTCGGCGACTGGAGGATGTATAGCTTCTATGCCAGGGCAGCTGGGTGGTTCAGTCTGTCGACGTTTGCTGGCGCCATGATTGTCTTTGCCTTTTGCGACTCATTTCCCGGTAAGTTCTTCCAAGGTGTACTCACGTGGAATCGTTCAAGGCTGATAAAGTCATTTTCAGATATCTGGCTCAAGTGGTGGGCTGAGTCCAACGAACAGAGACCGAACCAAGATCTGGGCAAGTGGCTTGGTGTCTACGCGGCTCTTGGAGTTGGATCTGTGGCTTCGGTTCTCTTTGGAATGTGGTGAGCACATATTCCATCGCAACACTCAGCAGAGCAGTTGATAACGAAATATTCTAGGCAACTCTTCATTGTTATCATTAACAAGTCAGGAGTCTACTTCCACGGTGTTCTACTAAACACCACATCTCGGTAAGGCATACAACCGACTTCTTCCCTGCCGTGGTCTTCATACTAACGAAAGTAGTGCGCCTATGTCATTTCACAGTTCTGTGGACAGCGGAATCACAGTCAATAGGTTCAGTCAAGATCTCCAACTCATTGACATGGAGCTACCAGCCGCAGCACTCGGCTTGGCCGTAGGTACGCAAAAACTCTCTTCGTCTATAACGAAATCCGAAGCTTAACTGACCTTCCAACCCTAGGTGTCGCATTCGGCGTAGCCCGCTTCATAGTAATGTCCGTCTCCTCACGCTACATGGCCGCCATCCTCCCCTTCCTCATCCCAACCTTCTACGCCATCCAGCACTTCTACCTCCGCACCTCGAGACAAATGCGCCTCCTCGACATCGAGCACAAGGCGCCCCTATACTCCCAACTCATCGAAACCCTCGAGGGCCTGGCCACCATCAGAGCCTTCCGCTGGGAAGATGAATTCGAAAAGGTTAACCTCCATCGGCTCGACGACTCGCAGCGACCCAAGTACCTCCTCGCGTGTCTGCAGAGCTGGCTGACGTTTTCGGTCGACACGGTGATTGCGGTCATCGCCGTCGTGCTTATCGTCTTGGTCACGACGCTGCGCGAGCAGATTGGGCCGGGGTTCATTGGTGTTGCCTTGACAAATGTGTTGGCGTTTAGCGGGTGTGTCAAGGCCATAATCACGTCGTGGGTCATGTTAGAGGTTTCGCTTGGTGCGGTTGCGAGGGTGAGGAACTTTTCTTTGACGACTGCGTCTGAGGACAACTCTCGGGTGCAGCTTGCGGAGCCGGAGGGAGAGTGGCCGAGTCGGGGGGCAGTTGAGCTTCGGAAAGTGACGGCGTCCTACGCGTAAGTTGAGAGAGAGTTACACACCCTCGTACTTGGGAGTGTGGAGCTGACGCTGTAACAGATCATCCGGTACCGTTCTCAAAGATGTCGACATCTCAATCGAACCTGGCCAGAAAATTGCAATCTGCGGCCGGACAGGCAGGCAAGTGATCCCTCACCCCCTATCCTTGCCAGCACGAAGACATCTAACACTCCCTCCAGCGGCAAAAGCTCTTTAATCCTCTGCCTCCTCCGCATGATGGATCTAGACTCAGGCACAATCGCCATCGACGATGTCGACATCGCCACGCTTCCCCACGAATACGTCCGCTCCAAGATCGTTGCCGTCCCGCAGGAATCCTACATTTTCGACGGCACCGTGCGGTTGAATCTCGACCCAGGACAGGCAGCTTCGGATGCGGAGATCACGGCGGTCCTGAAAAGGGTTCAGCTCTGGGAGAAAGTCGAGGAGCGCGGCGGACTCGATGCCGTTATTGACGACAACTTCTTTTCGCAGGGCGAGGCGCAGTTGTTGGTTTTTGCTAGGGCTATGTTGAGGAAGGAGAGGGTGTTGATTTTGGATGAGATTACGAGCAGGTGAGTTTGACCTTTTCTATTTCATTTTTGCACACGTGTGTCCAAGCTGGTACCTGTTTAATCTAGCTACATTGGGTGAAGGAAACTAACTTTCTGTGCAAATAGTTTGGACGACGAGTCTAGTAGAATCATCGACGAGGTGCTGCGCTTGTGGTTCAAAGATTGGACCATAATCGCTATCGCACATAAGTTGGAGTCGATACTGGACTTTGATCGAGTTGCGGTGGTCGATTCAGGAGTAGTTGTCGAGTACGGAGAGCCTCGTCAGCTTCTGAGGAGCGAATCCTCGTTCAAAGCGTTGTATGAACGCTCATCGGGTGTGTGACACACTAGGGCCGGTAGGAGGGAACTGAGGGATTGTAAGATGAGTGTAAATCCCAACTCGGCATTTGTATTTGTAACGTATCAAGATACCCCTCTTTTCATTGGAATTCAATACGTAGAAGTCTCTTCTCAGAACCAGTTAGCGATTGTGGGGTGCGGAATTCATGTTCGTCGTACTGATGTGGTTGCCCGAATTTACTACTTCGGTACCGATACCATGACGCTGGCATCGAAACATTCAAGGTAGATAGAGGGGACACCGTCACTGGAGTTCTCGGTCTCAACATAGAATCCTTCTCTCCATAAGATGCAATGTACGCTTTGCCTTATGACACTGCACGACACCAACTTTTTGGCTCCTTGGCTAGTCACCACAGCTGGCGATGGCAATTCTCGGTGAGACACCACCATCGCGATTCCAGTCTTCCGTTGCTTGAAAGTACGTTGGGATCTCAAGGAAATATATCTGATGTACAAACAACATCATGATTTAATCCGTCATTTCCGGTGTACTGTCTTGCCCTCGACACTTGTCCTCTCACCATAGGTCTGTGAGAAAACAAGCAGGGATGTAGGATCATGACAACCATTACACACTCTTTTCGAGCTGCATAAAAAGTAGGGCTAGCTGCATTCTGTATTTCCTCACGGCATTCCTGCATCGAGTGCCAGATGGCGTCAGCCCATGGCTACAAGGGATGATAGCAAGGTATGTGATAGTCGGGACCAGTTCTCACTATACCCGCGAATAGAAAATTGGAACACAGAACAGAATCGGAAAAAAAGGATTAAACGATCGTGCTCATATACTGGCTTTTCTCGCTCCTTGCCTAGAGGTAATCAGCTGCATCTTATCTAAGCCTCTTTGGCCAATATTGACGTTGTGTAACCGGATGTTGGTTGCTATTCTCCAGCAGAATTTGAGTAACCACTTCTCGTTGGATTCCCAGCGTAGCATGATCTACCGTCTAACAGCCGAAAACGGGCTTTCTCTACAAATTGTGACCGTGATCAAGCTGTTTATGCAAAGCTGCCTTACCACACTGCGTGACTGCCTCAACCTAAGCGCCCGCGAACATTTATATGACGCCGGTCAGGCCCTCACATCATATCTCTCATTCAACCTATCTCATACCTACCCCATACCCATATTTCGTCACAAACACAACATTTTCGAGAATTCTACCACGCAGTATGGCGCTCCCAACATGGGACGCACGTGAAGAGACCATATCTTCCGCTGATGATATGGCCAATATTTACGCCAAGAACATAGAACTTCGTCATCCTGGGACATGCAATTGGTTTTTGAGGAGCCAAGAGTACCATCAATGGAAGTATGATAACAGCAAGACACTGTTCTGTGTCGGCCCGCCAGGTGTTGGCAAGTCTGTTCTAGCTGCGGCCGTAATTGATGAGCTGAGAGATAGAGCGGTTCTCTTCTTGTTTTGCGAGAGCGATACTCAGGAAGTCGACTACCTTATGCGCTGTCTTATCCGGCAACTACTCACTCACGCTGAGCACCGTACAGACATTGCTTTGCTGGCCCAAATGCGGGATCTTGAGGAAGACGAGAACACCAGAAATGACCATGACCGAGCAGTTCTCATACTACTGCTACGTCACTGCATTAAAAACTGCAGATCCAAGGGAGCGACAGTTTCGCTTGTCTTAGATGGACTTGACAGACTTGATCTTGACGTTTCTCGGAGCTTCCTGTCCATCCTTAGCGGTCTCCGTGATGAGATCAATATCGGGATTTTCGCTACTTCAACATTGTTCGCATCTATAAACACCACAGACGAGGCGGTTATGACTATTCCAATACGAGCATCAGCGGAAGACCTGCGTAGCTATGCTGGTAAACTTTCAGGAATGGGAATCGAAACAGGGTCAGATTACAAAACTTCCCTTGATTACATCACTGGTTGTGTCTGTGAAATATCCGATGGAATGTAAGACACAGCTATATACTCCGACCTGGCTGAAGCTTTGTTACTAAGTTCTCTAGATTTTATGCTGCGAGTTGTATGGTTGATAGCCTCTTATCCTTGTCCAAACGGCATGACATCTACTTGTTCCTGGATGATCAATACTTGAACGACATATTTGACGGTTGGATTGAGCCACATCTAGAGATTCCTCAAGTAGAATACGCTTCTGATGTGATAGACTGGCTGACTTTCTCTCACCGGGACCTTACAACACTCGAGCTGCAGCATATTATCTCAAAGCACTCATCCGTACGGCTAGAGATGGACGAAATCATTGATGCGATGCACGGGATTATTATGACCCAAACTCAGGGGAAACAACAGTCAGTTCGCTTTTTCCACGGGTCTCTTAGAAAATATCTTCAGCGCCAAAAATACGAAGAAGAGATCAATATCCATGATGAGATTGTCCGCAACTGTTGGGATCAACTCCGGGGTCCGGTCGAGCAGAGATTCTGCATTTCTGACGAAGATTTTGAAGAGAGATTACGCGACAAACCACTTTTCTCCTATGCTGCGTGTTACTGGGGCTTCCATGCTGAGAGATGTTCAGCTCCCTCGCGAGAAGCACTGCGATTCTTGACCGACCGAGACGTCGTCGAAAGGTCCAACCAGGCGATCTGGATTGAGGAGCATTCCTCCAAAGAACCTGGCTACTCTCAAAGAGTTCCTCGCAACATCAAAGGGCTACATCTTGCAGCCTACTTTGGACTTCACTATGTTGCCGAAGAGCTTCTCGATGAGAGGACCCACTCACTGAGTTCCATTGACACAGAAGGTCATACCCCACTGTGGTGGGCTGCCAAGTTCGAGATGGAGAAGGTCGTCTCGCTGTTTTGCCGGAGTGATACAATTACCTTATCACTACTTATCAAGGCAGATGAGGAGGATCTTGTTGAAACCCTGCTTGAGGGCGAGTACAGAATCAACGTGACTGATGCCTGGCGAAGAACACCTCTTCACATCGCAGTCCAACTGGGACGTCATCGGATTGCATCTCTGCTTGTCGAAGCGAAAGCCGACGTCAATGTTCGAGACATCAAGGAGCACAGCCCTCTGTACTTGGCGGTGTCCCAAGGAAACCGTCTTCTGATTGATCTCCTTCTTAAGAACAATGCCGACGGAAGAGATGTGGACGTCAAAAAGTTCCGAGCGTTACTTTCAGCCACAGATAAGGATGCTATCGGTATTTTTATGGACCAGGAAGAAGGCCCTTCTGGTCTACGTATGCCCTCCCCCGAGGACATCTTGAAAGCCATTAATTCGCGGACAGGAAGGTGTAGCATGTGAGTTGAATTAACCAGCCTTACGAACTGTGCTTACCCCGTGACTAGCCAGGAACAAAATGTAAGATACATAAGGCGGTTTCCCTCGGTCTCAAAGAAATACAGACAGCCGCGGACTCGTCGCAGCTTTACCCTCGAGGTCGGGAGCACAACGGACCTAAGTTCGAATGGGGACGAGAGTAGTTGGAACTACTTTTCGTTCTTCGCTTTACCTCATGACTACACAAGCAGACAGAGCGATCAAAGCGTAGATGTGTGCTGGAAGGTAGTGTGTTTGTACGATGCACAGGGGAACCCTGAGTGGAAAACAACTTTTCATCTTTGCAATCTACCCTACCTATGGCTTCCTCCAGATGGAGCAGAGCTTTTCAAGCACTTTATACTCGCCATCAAAGAGCGGTGGGTGTCATTGTGCGTTGAAGCAATCAGAGACATGAACATACGGGCAAGTCATTTCAGTCATGTGGCGATCATCTCAAGGCGGCTAACTCTCCATGACAGCGGCGTATCACGATATTGGATTTCAAGGGAGGTGAACCTGATCTTCTCGACGTCCTTCTCGACGACAGCCAGTGGTGGATTTCACAGAGAACGGCACTGAGCCAGACGGTCTCATGTACTCGAGATATGATAACATCCTATTGTGAACGACACAATAAAGGCGAATACCTTGAAGAGGTTTTGGAATGTATCGAGCAGCTTTCCAATGAGGTCGGAGTAAACCTTGATCAGCTCGATGGCATTTCGAGGGATCTCATCCAATTGGTCAGTTCATGCACCTCTCGAACTTCTACGTTTTGTAAACCAATGCTGATGACTGATCCCGATCAACTAGGAGTTTAACCTGGTTTCTATCAAGGAAGCCAGGCAGTCGGTAACAATGTCAGCAAGTATGAAGCGACTGACCTGGATCACTGTGAGTCATCTACTCTGTCCCCAGAAGCTACAAAGATCTCACCCACTGACCGATGAGCTAGTTCATATTTCTCCCACTTACCTTTGTAGCGGTACGTGAATTATCTCGATGCGTTTTAGGTTCCGACCTGGTCAGATACTGATTTCAGCCTATGTAAGACGTGTTTTGGTATGAATATCGACATCCTCGCGTCAAATCCTGCGTGGTGGATCTATGTCCCTTTTGCGACAGGAATTGTGGTTCTTACCTCAACCGTCTGGATCATCTTCAAGTACAGCCATGTAGGAAGCATTTCTCAAAGTTCTCGCTCAGTTATGTACAGGGACACTGACATGATTACAGCTGGAGCAAGCCATCGAGAATACGGCGCAGTCGGTGTTTTCGAGAAGGAAGGGAGTTAAGATCTCTCCTGCAATGAACGTTTGAGCAGTGAAAATAGAGCGGTACTCTAGCCAGTCCTCAACGCCCCTCATGTGTACTTATCTTCATGGATGAAGAGGTGGAAATAGACCTGTCGCTTGTGCCATACCTGCTAGCCCCCAGAAACTTGACTTGCTTGACTAACACAAATGAGGAACGCCCCTCTGTTCGGGTATTCCGGATGAACTGATTGGCCAATCGCATTTTTGGCTCTCACTTGCCGCGCGGGCCTTGTCAAGATGCTCCCGAGGTTCTTGTGTTCCCCCGGCCGGTGTCCGGCTGGCATTTCTGCACTCCTCTCCCCGACCTTTCGGCATCGTGACCCGGCAGTCGTCGCGGAGCACGGAGCACCCGAACGCTTGGCACATGATCAACTCATCGAGTGTCGCTTGACAACAAATAAACATCACGATCCCTTGAATCATACGGGGCCACAGCAACCCCAATCCTCTTCTTCCCAGAGCCTCAAACGGGAAACCAGAAGATAAGGATATCTTATCATTCGATGTCCCGTGAAATCACAACTCCGGAGCGCTGGTTGAGTTGACTGCCCAAAGGCGGGGGAAGAACACTCTGCCGGGAACAATCCTTCCTTCCGCCCAATTACCGCCACATCTCCCGAGCAGCCCCTCCAAATTGCGGCGACCCCACACTCGAACTGTCAAAAAGCGGGCCCGTCTCTCCACGCACCGGGTGCTGTTGCTGCATGCCCCTCGTCGTGTTGTCCGGGGTTCGGAGACGAGGGGCAGGAGCTGTAAGGTACCTCTCCGTACACCAAACTTACCTACTCTTTTTTCTTAAATCTTTCGTCACCTCGATTTCTTCCCATCTTTGCCACACTTCCCCCTTCCCCTTTCACATGATTCTGTCTCGACGTCTCTCGTAAAGAGTACCTACCTGCCTTTACCCAGTCATCGTGACGTTTTTGCCAATCGGAGCTCGACATCCCTGAAGCTTCCTCTTAACCTCGGCGGAACTCACCCGACTCGCCATAATTTCCTCGCTCCTATATTCTCCGAACATCGCGAAACTTCTCTCCTCGTGAAGGCTTCATCTTCCTCCCGCCTCGCCAGTCCATGCTCTCGCGATCATCCCGCCTCCTCTCTAACCTCCAAGCCAAAAGCTCACTTACAAGGCTCTTCTCTACAACCGCAAAGATGCCCGTCCACCACCTCATGATCGGGACCTGGACCCCGCCAGGCGCCATCTTCACCGTCGCGTTCGACGACGAGAAGCTTACCCTCGAGCTTGTAAAGCGCACCGAGATCCCCGAGGACCAGCCGATATCATGGATGACCTTCAGCGTAAGTTCAGATCAGCCTACCCGCAGATCATCTTGAGTTCGGATGAGCTTTAGTCTGGGCTTGCTTCATGTTACTCAATTTCACCTTGACCGAAAATCTTGGCTTACACAAAATACGCATACCTTAGCATGACAAGAAGAACCTCTACGGAGCCGCCATGAAGAAGTGGGCAAGCTTCGCAGTCAAGAGCCCCTCAGAAATCATCCACGAGGCCTCTCACGACATGACCCACGACCGTAAGTTCATTACCCTTATAACAAGCAGGCCAATGTCGCCTTATGATGTCACATCACGATTACCTGGTCGTTCTCGTGAACATCATCTCAACTAACACTATTCCTCCCCAGCCAACGCCGCCCTCTCAACAACAAATACCCGCGCAATCTTCCTCCTCGCGGCGCAAAAACCCCCCTATGCAGTCTACTGCAACCCCTTCTACAAGCACGCCTCCCACGGCAACATCTTCTCCGTCTCCTCCTCGGGCGCCCTCGAGACAAACGTCCAAAACTACCCCTACGACCCCAACACGGGCATCCACGGCATGGTCTTCGACCCCACAGAAACCTACCTCTACTCCGCCGACCTCACCGCCAACAAGCTCTGGGTCCACAAGAAGACCTCCCCCGACAGCCCCGAACTCGAGCTCGTCGGCTCCGTCGACGCCCCGGACCCCGGCGACCACCCCCGCTGGGTCGCCATCCACCCCACCGGCCGCTACCTCTACGCCCTCATGGAGGCAGGCAACCGCCTCTGCGAATACGTCGTCGACCCGGCCACCCGCCTCCCCATCTACACCCACCGCTCCTTCCCGCTCATCCCCCCGGGCATCCCCGGCGCAACCACAAAGATGTACCGCTCCGACGTCTGCACCCTCTCCCACAGCGGGAAATACCTCTTCGCCACGGCCCGCTCAAACAGCTTCGACGTGACGGGCTACATCGCCGCCTTCAAGCTCGACGACAGCGGTCACATTGAGAGGCAGATCTGCCTGAACCCCACGCCCACGAGCGGCGGGCACAGCAACGCCGTCAGCCCCTGCGACTGGAGCGACGAGTGGATCGCCATCACGGACGACCAAGAGGGCTGGATCGAGATTTACCGGTGGCAGGACGAGTTCCTGGGCCGTGTTGCGCGGTTGCGTATCCCTGAACCTGGCTTCGGAATGAACGCTATTTGGTATGATTGAGATTGAGATTGGAGATTGGGAGGAGTCAGGATAGCGGGGATAGTAGGAGAAACAAATATAAACAAAGAAACATAGAAAACATACAATGAAACACCATATTCAACTTCATCATGTTGCAAGATTTAAGTGGTTCAAAAAGTTTGACTTGAAGAGCAACAACGGTGAATGAGCGCCGCAACCGCTCAGATTACTATGCGATATCATACAGGGAACAGGACCAACACCTACAAAATCTTACTACACCCAATCTACGACTTGTTTTTCCTCTTCTTCCTCCTGTTCTTCTTCTTACTTGCTGCTTGGCTGTTGCTGGTGCTCTGAGCCGTGCTAGAAGCACCATCGCCGTTCTCCTGTTCCTCGCCTTCTGAATCGTGGCTAGAAGACTGCTTGTTACTCTGGCTAGTAGCCCGCGAGCGGTGTCCAGAAGAGCCCTTGGATCCTCTAGACCCGGCTTCATCAGAATCGGAGCTGGCAGCCTGAATGATAATCTTCCGCACTCCACTGCTAGTCTCAACCACGTTCTCGCTGATACTACCACTTCGAACAAGAGGTCGGCGTTTAGGGGTGGCAGATCCGTCATCGATAACATCAGTGACGCTCGTCGCGCTGCTTGCCCGACCGGGCGAGACGATGATGGTCAAGTCCGTCCGGGCAGCTTCGGGGCTTGCGCTCCGTGTATCCTGTGGGCTGCCATGCTCGGGGACAGTTGGGGGCAAGTCGACTCCGTCAGGAGCCTTGGCGCCCTCCGCGTCGTGATCGTGAGCGGCACTCGAGAGCCTAACCTGAGTCTCACTCATGCCCGCCCCGCCATAACTCTTACGAATAGCATGGACGCCGCCCTTTCCGGTCAGCTTAGGGCGCATAAGGGGGGTATGCTCGTCCGTGTCATGCTCCAGTCTCTCCTCGCTAATTTCTCCAGCTATAGAGGCGGGGCGAAGATTTGGGGACGGGCTGTGGATCTGCGACAAGGGCGCTCCGGTCTGAACGGGCTTGATTTTGACGGTTGTAGACTTGGTGTTCTTCGGGTTCGACGCGCGGTTGGATGGTCCGAGATGCTTGAGGTGTTGCTTAGCCTCGTCAAAGGTGGCCTTCACAGGAACAGCAGACGAAGTCATACGCCCGTCAGGTCCGGCCGAGCTTCTTCTCATAAGGAATGTGGTTCTAGGCGCGCTGCTCGAGAGGTTCTCCGGGGCATCGCTAAGCGCACTGATGGAACCATTGCGTTCATAGGGAGGTTGC